GGACTGAGTCATCCCTGTGAGCGTATTTTAAGTTTAGTGCGTGTCTTTGCTGGAAACATTTGTTGGAGGTATAAGTTCATTTTAAAATGCTTATGCTGTCTGGAGAAGGCCAAAATACTGGTGCAAGTAAAGGTTGCATCATCAAAACCCAATTTTATTACTCTCTGATTTGGTAGGGTGGCTTTACTACTCTAATACTAAGGTTTGCTAGTGTGGCAATATTGGCAAAGCTTGTGTAGACTAGCCCTTATGGTTACTCCTTCAGCAAAATCATTAATTTAGAAAGACAGCTCCTTTCAAAAAGACAAGTGTTTCCCTCTTGTCTCCTGCAGTTTGGTTCCTGACACCCTGCTACTGTGTAAGTAGGTCAGCAAACTGCGTTGTGTGCAGTGAGAACAGGTAAAAGTTTTGTGTTGCAAAGCATCAAAAACAAAGCGTCTGTCTTTTGTTTGCCAGATTTTTTCAATAGCTGCTCACTGTAAGTATCATAAACCTGCTTGAGGTGAATGTGGTCTAGAGCATTCTCATTTACAAAGGCACAGTCTTTGCAGACAGATGTTTTCTTTACCTCTTTATGTACCAATATGCCAGTGCTGTAGGGATGAAAGCATTCCAAGAGGTATACTGTTGTTCTCTTTATAACTTCTGTCACTATTGTAGAAACACATCAGTTATCTTTTCATAACAGTTTACAAATAAGGCAGAGGTTTTCAAGATTAAAAATATTCCACAGAACTATGTCTGACGCAGGAAAACAAGTGTTATTGGTGGCAGCTGAATTATTTGTTTTGATTTTCATTTTGTTTATTGTTTTGTTTGGTTGGGTTTTTAAAAATTATTATTCCCCCTCTTGTAAACTTTCAACTATAAAAGGTAGGAACACCAAGTTTTCAGCTACACAGACCCTTTCTCAATGTGCTCATCATGCATTTTAACTGTCCCACAACAGTGCTCTCAGAGGGACTTGGCTGTGACTTTTAAAATGTGAGACAAGTTGGAAATTCCATCTTGATTTTAACAAGAACTGTGGACAGTCTTAAATTTATGTTGATTCGGATTTTGGCATTTTTTTCTTTATTGTTATTTGAATCTGTTTTATGCCATGAGATGTAAATTGTGACTCCTAGCAATATCAACATTTGTTCTTAAGTCCTTGTTTTCACTGTAACGATTTATCTTGCTTATATTGTTGCTTACATATACAGAAGAGGTATTGGAATCTTTTTCCTTATTCTGCTTTATGTAGTGTCATTTGAGATGATTCATTAGGATTGTATTCCTTAAGTGATGTGGAAGAGCAGATTCTAAATTTGTCACACAGACACATGACATCAAAACACAACATAAACCCAGTTGTTCTTATGCCACTTGCTCAAGGTGTAGTATGCTCCAAGCAGTTTTCCTGACCAGGTACAAGAGGTTGGGGTGCATGTTACACATTTATAGAACACTATTTATGCAGTTACTGGCAGCAATTTCAGCTTACAATGATGATCTTCTTAATTAAAGAATGGAAAATGTTGTTTTAAAATGTGCATGGAGTCAGGCTGCTCAAAATTAAATTACTTAAAACAAGGCAACTTCTTCATCCTCTTGTTTCCCCCAGCTCTGTATGTATCTCAGCTGAGTTTTGCTCTCAGCTCATGGGTTTGCTGGTTGGCAGTGAGGGTTTTATTTCCTTCTAAATCTTGATCTTCTGGGTTTTCATCTGAATTAAGGAAGACTGAGGTAGCCTTTTCTGCTGTGGTTTGGCAGCTTAGAGTGCTTCTAAAGTAACCAAAACTGTTGTCCAGAGTAGGAAGCTCTCACACAGGTGTGTTAGAAGCAGCCGTGCTACAGCTGGGCACATCTCTGCACCTGGGATTGCAGATTGCCACCTCCAGCTTTCAGCCACACAAATCATGGGCTAAATAAATTGCCATGGGGAAGCACGTGGTGGAAAGCAACCTCCTTCCTGGGATACTGACAGATTGGAAAACCTCTGCTTAAGCATAGCTAAAAACTTTTTTTCTGAAGTGAAATTTGATAGCAGTCCAGGGTTAAATGTTTCACTACGCGCTGTCCGCTCTGTCTGGGAACAAATGTGTTTTGAAACTTTCTAGTTCTGTCTGTTGGTGTGTTATGACAAGGATGCCCAGACCTCAGTTTGCTGGTGAGGTGTGGGTGCAGGTGATGCAAGAGGACGCATGGCTACTTGCCCTCCGCTTACATACCTCCTACTTTTTTCTCCTCCTTCAACTTTCTTTCCCCATTAGACTCACAATTTTCTATCTTAAACTTTTCCAGAGTCAAACCTGGTTATAATATGTCCTTGCACTGATTTTTTTTTTTTTTTATTTCCTCCCCTTTTCCCAGCAGCCAGTAGCTGTCCTGCAGTGCTTGATGTGAGCAGCAAGGAGGACCTCCACCTGCCGTGTGGGAATGGTTCTCGTGCCATAGCTCACAAATCTTTGTACTAAAATAAATAACCTAGTAGTTTATTAACTGACAAGTTAAAGTTGTGTGACAGATGGGTAACTACTGCTTCTCAGGACAGATGATAGGAGCAAAGCTTAGTCTCGACTGGGATGTGTTTACATAAGGGGAATGTTTGCCTACATGTGAGTATCTGTAACTTTGCAATCAGCTGCTTTGTGTTTTGGGCTTGCATCAGTGGCTGGTTTGTTTCTTTTTAGGTTAGCAACTGTTGATGCCTGAAAAAAATACAAAGCAATTAGAACATCTAGCTTGATAAGACACAACACCTCTGAACAACACTTTGTTGTTACCAGGAGGTGTCAGAGTGAAGTCGGTGCAGTGAGGTGATTTAGCTTGGGTGTGTACAAGTGATGCTAAGATGAAAGTTAATGATAAATAGCACTAGTCCTTTCCCTAATCTCCCCATTAGTGCTGGCGTGCAATGTGCTTATTCTATGCCTTGCATATAAGCCCCACAGTGTGTTGGGCTACCCAGGTTCTGTGTAGATACTGCTGTGTATTTGATCATACCAGCTACTGCTCATAGGTACTTGATAGGGGTCAGATCTGACTGTCTCTCTTCTGGTGAAGGAAGCCAGAGGCTGCAAACCTTGACACATTTTATGTTAAATGTAAAAGAAAACAAAGTGTCGTCCCCAGACACAATTTGCGGCTTTCATTACAAACCAAGAAACCCTAAACTCTGGTGCAGTTGGCATAATTAAAATTGAGGTAGTCTAGATAGATTTGGAAATGTATATTAAGAAGCCTTGGCACAGTGTTAGAGTTGAAAATATGTTTTACTGTCTGTGTATATGTTCTTTCATTCGTTTGGAGCATGTAGGCATGAAAAATGCACATTCCACATGGGCAAGGAGGGCGCAAGTTGAGATACATGTTGTATGCTATTGCTCGAGATGTATATTCAGTTTAGAAATTTTGAGCTGACGAGTTGCAAATCATTGTCTGCTATTGCGGCATGCACTTTATGGAGGTCACTGTTTAGGAAACTGGCTTAATTTTTCTAATCTCCTTCCAAGTGTTAGGAAATAAACAATTTCCTAAGCCGTATCATATTGTTGTTGTTATTTGTATTATAACTTGTGCTAGGTGCTGTTCAAACACAGAGGGAAGCAGCTTAGCTTCTGACCTCTACAGCTGTAGGTATGCATCAGAGTAGTGTTATCTCCCAGGATGTTCTGCTTGCTGGCAATGGGTCTCTTGTAGCATAGAAAAGTGATGTGAAAACAAGACCACGAATATGATTAACTTCAGGGCTAAAATTACCATCCTTATTCACACTTAAAAATAGCTCCTTATAGACTAGGATTTTATTTGATGTGAGTTATATCTTATTTTGAGAGACACTAATTTGTTCTGATATGACTAAGTGAAGCAGAATCTGCCCTTAGCTAAGTCCTACTTATGTATTTACTTAATATGAGTGTGGTTAGTGGAAGATGGCTACAAACTGGGTGCTTTTTTAACAAAGCCACAGCTTTTCACATTAAGAAACTAATTATATCTAAGAATATATTCAAATGAACATGAAATTGTTTTTAAGGCTTTTATTTTAATGTTCTGTGATATAGATGTAGATATCTATATATACACAGGGGCAGTTAAACAAGTTTTCTGGTCTTTATATAATGTATTCCTTGTTGCCTAATACGTGGAAAAAAAGATGTTCAGAATGATCTTTTATTAGCTCTTGTGGCTGTTTTCACTAGACTGGGGAACACTGCTCCCTTTTAAACACTTAGAGTTGTCTTTCCTAGAAAAAGCATTTGCACTAACAGATGATGGAAAGCAAAGCTGCCTGCTGTATTAGTATTATCTCCTCATCTTTTCCCCCAGTCCCTCTCCATTCTATTCAAAACCACATCAAACTGTTCCTGGTATTTTTAAAGAAATGGCTCACAAGTGAAGCATCCACTGATGTAGATGAATATTTAAAGCTTGACTGAGCAGCACATGGGCTCTTTCCTACAACTGGGTGCACAGTTCGATTACAGGTGGGCAGAACATTAGGCTGATAACATCATAAACTACACAAAATGGTAATGAAGTCCAAATATTTGTGCTGCCAGTATATATTCTGATCACATCTGCTCACTGTAACTATTTTTTTCCTTGGTAAAGTGATTTTGGTTTGGTTGTTTTTTTTTCCACGTTTATCAAAGCAAATTCTAATGTTTCATCTGTCAGCGGAGCTGCTCTTCTGTTTGAAGTTCTGAGTGAAGTTTTTGAATGCTTATGATGAATGAGCTGGGAAAAAATTACTTTTGCTCTTTGATGCCATGCGTGGTTTGCAAGACTAACATTTGTTCAGTTTGGAAATGTGATGAGCAATATTAGAGACCATACCTGCATCCTTTTCATGCTAATTTAAGACAGACAGTTTTCAAACCATATTGTAAGAATTAAACTACTTTGTTAGAGCTAAAGTGATGCATAGCTAGCATTTGTGTCTTCATAGAACTGAGAGCAAGCAATGCCCAGGTCATGAGCTTTTTCCCCCCCCTTTTTTTCTCCTTTCTTAGAACGAAGTTGAATTATAATCCTCCAAAGGATGATGGCTCAACGTACAAGATTGAACTTGAAGGGATATCTGTTGATATCATGAAAGAGATATTAGATTACATCTTCAGTGGGCAGGTATGTTATTAAAAAAAAAAGTAAGATGGAAATTTAATTATTTGGCAAAATAACCAGGGTTTTAACAGTGCTGTCCTGAAAGATAAACTTACAAACGTTTAAAGCTTTGTGATAAAACTTCCACAAAGTGGTATATCACACTGGGGCTGTGCATGTGAAGTAGAGGCAGTAGGCTCTGCAGGAATTGTGTCTGATCTCATGCCATGGGGGAAGACTCGAAGAGAATCAAATGCTTGTATTAAAATACGTGGCTACGTTCAGTAACCCACTTTACAACATGCAGTCTTTGACAGCTGTAAAAGAGAACTGGATTGATAGCAATAGAAGTTGAGACCCCATCACTGAAGACAGCGGTACGTCAGGCATCCTCCCTCACTGACCCCCATGCCCACCTCTCCAGCCCCTTGTTGCTGACAGCTCGCCCCTTCAGATCTTGGTGCCAGTGCCCTCAGCAGGAATTCAAGTTGGTGTGTCCAGTTTGTTCAGAACCAGGTGGAGATTGCTGAATGAGTTAAACTTTCAGCGGAAAAATAAAGTGGATGTGGCTTGAAAGGCTCTTCTGGACGTGCACTTTCAAAAATTATTTATTAATTGCAGCAAAATTCATTTTAGGTTCTCAGATTAGATGAGCGATTTCATGGTTCCTTCAGGTGCAAAATTCTGCTTGATGCTTTCTGTCAAGCAAATGCCTTTCTATCCCTGTGTTAATTTATAAATGTGTAGTAGTATCAATTTTGAGTAATTTTTACACTGGCACTAATACTCCATTTTTCAGCCACTGAGAATGAGTGTAATGTATGCGGACATGTCATGAAACAAATGAGTGGTAGTAGCTATAACTTCTAAATTAATTCTTGCAGATCAGGCTAAATGAAGAAACTATCCAAGATGTGGTACAGGCAGCTGATCTCCTGCTGCTTACAGACTTAAAAACTCTCTGCTGTGAGTTTTTAGAAGGTTGCATAGCTGCTGAGAACTGTATTGGTATTCGGGACTTTGCACTGCACTATTGTTTGCATCATGTTCACTACCTTGCCTCAGAGTATCTGGAAACTCACTTTCGAGATGTCAGCAGCACAGAGGAATTCTTGGAACTGACTCCTCAAAAACTGAAAGAAGTGCTGTCGATGGAAAAGCTCAATGTTGGAAACGAAAGATACGTCTTTGAAGCGGTGATTAGGTGGATTTCTCATGATTCAGAATCAAGAAAGGTCAGGACATCAAAATGTTTATATTTTGAATGGGATCCAAATCAGTGTGTTTGTTCTAATTGGTGGGAGCTCAAAATAGATACATTTCTGTCAGGGCTAATCTTGCATCTATAGAATTAGTTGAGTTTTGCCTGAAATGCAGACAGCAGTGATGTATTGATGATATAGTATCTGCTCTCTCGATTATTTAATAGGCATTAAGGAAGGGATGTACCTTTTTGGCATTTGATGATATAATCTTGTTGTTGTAGGGATACGACAAGTAGCGCTTCTGTAGTGAAACTTTAAAGGCTTGATGCATTTTCTTAATAACGTTATTTTGGAGATTTTGTTACTACTTTCAAATATCAAAAATACTCTAAAGTTTTGATAAATACAGAAGCATGTACAAGCACCTTAGTGGTGTTTTATAAAGTTGGGGGGATTTTCTGGCATTTATCTCTTTCTGTAGGTTCACATGAAGGATGTCATGTCAGCAGTGTGGGTTTCGGGCTTAGATGCAGCGTATTTACGTGAGCAGATGATGAGCGAACCACTGGTACGGGAGATTGTCAAGGAATGCAACAATATTCCCCTCACGCCGCCGCAGCAGGGAGAGGCGATGCTGGCCTCCTTCAAGCCCCGGGGTTACTCGGAGTGTATAGTGACTGTTGGGGGAGAAGAGCGAGTGTAAGTATGCAGTGGCATTGCAGGTTGTCACAGTTAGTAAAATATAAGTGTCTGGCATGCGTGGTATGTCTGAAAACCTGGTGTGGAGCAAATATGTGCGCCTAATGGGCTTATTACTCTATCATTTTGGTTTCTTTTTAAGTTGGTCAGACATACCTACAATACCTTTGTGAATGATTCAGCAATAAATAGTTATTTTGTAATAATTTTCTGACATTCAACATGTAGACTTAGAGTAGGACGTGTTATTTTATTCAGTAGATGTTGACTGGAGTTTCTTTGGTGTTTTTTTTTTTTTTTTTTTAAACTGAATAGATGTTACTCAAATTAAGCACAGAATGTTGGAGAAATCTGGAAAGCATCTATAATAATCTAAATAATGAACACATGCTTTAACTGTTTTGTTTATAATAGCTGTAGTTGCAAAAAAAATAAAGGTCATTATTGGTGCACCTGAGATGCCATGTGAAAATTCCTGTTGCTTACAATAATCCCTTTCTTTTCTTGAGTGCCCTCTGCAGTAGAAAGGAGGGTTTTATCCTTTTTAAGTAAGTTTAGGACTTAGATATTTGCTCTTCGTAGAAGTGTAATAAAATACTCAAATAACATTTTGCACATCAGTTTGTGGATTGTTTGCATTGCTTTACTCAGCTATTACTAAAATTCCCTATCAGTTCTTCTTAGTTTGTTCAAAGTTTCTACATAAAAAATGTTACAGACAGATACAGTATGAAAGAAGTGCATCTGCTTTTTATGTCTCCGGTCTGTGCAAAACTTAGTTTACACACATTTAGTTTGGGGGTTTTCTCTGTACCAGGGAAATGCCAGGCTTTATGAATATATATTAAACCATGAACAAGTGAGCTTCGGACACAAGTTGTTAACAGTGAACTCGTAAAACTCTGTCTTGTGTTTCTGTTTCTGTTTGTTCCTTCCCCACCCTGTGTTCAGATCACGGAAACCAACCTCAGTGATGCGGTGTATGTGTCCTCTTTATGATCCCAATAGACAGCTCTGGATTGAACTTGCTCCTATGAGTATTCCAAGGATCAATCATGGAGTATTGTCAGCAGGTAAAGGGGAGCTTTGTATTTGTAAAGTCAATGTTATGAAAATTTACCAGTGCCTCAAAATCTGAGATATAGCATATAATAATATTTTTTTCTTCAAGATTGACTGCACTGGGGTTATTTCATGCTTCCCCTTTGTCTGCCCAAAACATTACCTGATTCTGTGAAAATCCCTGTCATCTGAGTGTCTTAAAATCACTATTCTGGCAGCAGTTTGTGGGAATCTGTTACATCTGTCTATCCAGGAGTATTTCATGTTTTAAGTGAATTCTAGCTGCTGCATCACTGTAAGTGTGTGCTTTACCTTCTCCAGTCCAGAGGTTGACCTGTGACTGGTCTGAACCTCTTTGCGGATTCCAGGATACAGCTCAACAGTCACGTTGTCTTGCTCAGTGTACAGATGTAAGACCTGTTTTTAAAATCATGTTACATTTTGTTTTACAGAAGGATTTTTATTTGTGCTTGGTGGTCAGGATGAAAACAAGGGAACGCTGAGCTCTGGAGAGAAGTACGATCCAGACACCAATTCATGGAGTTCCTTACCACCAATGAATGAGGCAAGATCACTATTTAACTGTTGGGATTTCAGTTTTTACTTTGACAAAATGTTCCTTTTCTTCTGCAAAACTTTATTCTGAATCTCCAGTCACTTGTATCTTACACGTTCAAAATCATGCTACAGGCTGACTTCTGTTTATATCCTGTTGTTATACTTGTGATCCAGTACTGACTGCCAGATCTGGAAAAACTAAATAATTAGTGAAGAGCTAGCTGTAAAGGTGAGCTACAAAATTTCAGGAATTGCATAGTGAATCAGTCATATAGTATACTTAACATTCTGTGTGTGCTGGCCTTCCAAAACAAGAGAACTCTTAAATGGCCAAAGGGATTGGGCTGTGCAGGAAGGTTGGACAGAGGACTGGCCAACATTCAGAAGTTGGCTTGCATAGACATATTTAGGTCTGGTTTGAGTTAATGCTTCCTCCTTCATATTTGCATTCCATTGAAAAGTAACAATTTATTATTTGTAAACATATATCCTTAATACACCTGTGCTTTTATCTGTTTAAATCAGCATAGGGTGTTTATTAAGAAATTGTTGTTTGCCACAGGATTTTCCTCATTACAGTCTCTGGTTGGCAAAGGCCTGTAGTTTTGGCCACATTTGTAGTTACAATGCATTAAGTTTTTGTAGTTACAATGCATTGAGTTTTCTTCTTACTAAGAGTAAGATTTTACAATATATTATATTTCCTGTTTACTGTGAGACTGAAGGTAGCTGTGGTCCTACATACAAAATAGAAGAGCTGCCTTTTCACAGATAGCAGGTCTGAGTTTTACTGCTGTAGAGACCTGAAAGCAACAGCTTCATCATAGAGACCACTACTATGCAAACTGAAGTATGTCCAAGCTCTGTTCTTAGATTTCTGTGTGGTCTCATTGGATTTTGCTGCTCCATCTTTTTTGAATACCCTTTGTTTTGTTTAGTTGAATAAATCAATAATCTTATTCTGGACTTTAGGACTTCATCATTTAAAAAACAAAACTAAACCCAGGCACAATACCAGTATCACTTTGCAGATAGATGCTGAAAAAAAGATTGTATTGATTTATTCATAATGGCAGTTATGTTTTACAATGTTGATTTTATTGATATTCCTTAGGCACGACATAATTTTGGTGTGGTAGAGATTGATGGAATTCTGTATATCCTGGGAGGGGAGGACGGTGAAAGGGAGCTAATCTCTATGGAGAGCTATGATATTTATAGCCGGACCTGGACCAAGCAGCCAGACTTGACCATGGTTAGGAAGGTAAGAACTACGTCATATGTTACTGCATTACTTATTGTTAAATAGTTAATGCCAACAGAGATAGATCAATAGATAGATATATCCATTTCAACCTCTTGCTTCAAGTAGAAGCTGTAACATACAGTCTCAAAATTAAATGAGGGAGAGCAGCTTCTTTATACCAAATCAAAACTGGCTGAGAATTTTTGTGCAAAGCATTGTTTGACATGCGATACAGGCAGTCCAAATACATGCATGTGTATATGTATATATTGTTAGTTTTGAGCTCTCAATACTGTGCATTTGTGTAATTTTAAATGTAATTTTTCTTTTTTCCACAAGATTGGCTGCTATGCAGCTATGAAGAAGAAAATCTATGCAATGGGTGGAGGCTCCTACGGAAAACTCTTTGAATCTGTTGAGTGTTATGACCCTAGGACTCAGCAGTGGACAGCAATCTGTCCTCTGAAAGAGAGAAGGTGAGTGAAAATGGAAGGGGGGAACTGGATTGCTGTGTACAACCTTTTTTAACGCCGATGAGAGGAAGTTGTCTTTTCTCTGATGAATCCCTGACGATGGCTGTTGAGGACCCTATAAATTTCACCACGTCTTTCTGATTCATGGCAGCCTGCAGTCAACATGTAGCTGAGTAAAGATAAGCATCCAAGAAATAAATACGAGTTTTGTAGAAATATACTCCTGAGGTTACAATTAATACTACCCTGCTGCAAAATGAAAACCAGAAATTATAGCTCAATTGAAACTTCAGATTTTGACCAGAGATAAATACTTTGCTGTTTTGTTCTTTGACATGGTCTGAATTAAGTGCTTACAACTCATATTCATGGCTCATCTAATCTTGTTGAACATACAAGATGTGTGTGTGTATAAATAAAGTTCAAAAATTGAGAAAGTTCAGAAAGATATATGAAATTATTTTGATATGTTGCCTTTTTTTTTTTTTAATTTGGATTCTCAGATTTGGGGCAGTGGCCTGTGGAGTTGCCTCTGAGCTTTATGTATTTGGTGGGGTTAGGAGTCGTGATGACAGTCAAGCCAGTGAGATGGTGACGTGCAAATCTGAATTTTATCATGATGAATTTAAAAGGTAAGTAGCTACAGCTATAAACATAAAAAATACATGCCTTGCACACTTCACTGTTTGTTCACCCCTGCCCCTTGCTCCAGCACTTCAAAGCATATTAGGTCTGTGCCACGCATCTGTTACTCATTTTACCTTTTATGATCCAGTGTGGCTGTTGACAAATGTCCATCGGCTTCAGTGGTTTGTCCCTCTAAGATACCACACCTACAGCCCTGGCCCACCATGTCAGTCTTGAGCGCCCTGACCAGGAGAAACACCTTGATCACCTTGACCAGGTAGTTTGCCTGGTTCTTCCCCTGCACCCTGTGATTTCCCCAGGTGCAGGGTGCTGCCGCCCCCCACCCCTACTCAGTGCTAGTGGGGGACTGTAAGTGTGTACAGGGATACTTCTCCATGATCCCGTCCTATTTCCAGGGATTTGCAGCTTAGGGAGTTCTAAGCTAGAGATAAGAAATTTCATGCGTTTCTGTTCCAAGCATTTGTAGCTGATTGTTTTTTGAGCCCACGTAAGCTTTAGCTATAGGAAAGGCACTGTGGATGCTGTACATTCCACAGACACCTCAACACACTGTGCATGGTTAATCTCCTTTTGTTTGTTTTGAATCTACTTCTGATGACTTCATTTGTTATCTCTTGGCCCCGGTATTGGAATCCACTTTACTACATGACATAACTATTCAAAACTTTGTTAGGAAGAATTTTGTGTATAGTCACCTTATTCTCCAGTCATAACTGGCAAGTCTTGGTTCCTCCAGTGTTGTTTTTCTTGCATATAACTATAAATTGGATGATTCTCTTTTTTATAAACTAAATTGAAATTAGACTTTGTGGTCAGATGTTTCAAGGCTTGTTGACAGTGGTGAAGATTAATATGTCTGTATTACAAGTCACAGCTGATTTATGATGTGACCTGTATAAGAGCACACAAAAGTAGAATAGTAGATGTAAGTTCATTATATAATTTTCTTGCAAGATGTAGATGTAAAGAGACTATAATCTCTGCATGAAGAGATCTTCTGTGTTGTTCAAAGTGATGTCCGAACTAGCTATAATCAAATGAAGCTGGAGAAAAAACATTAAAGTGGTTATAGGAAGCAGACAGATAAGAAAGGCTATTGCTGCTGATGCTTTCTAGCATTTTCTAGCCCTATGGGGGTGTGGGGAAATGCTACAAGCTGATAAACATTTTGCCAAGAGGTCTTTGATAGAGCAGGAATTCTGGAAAGAAGTGCTCCCCTTCTTCCTGCTTGATATTTTTAGTTCATTTGCCTGAAATATTTCCAGGCTGATTCTGTTCTTCAGAAGGTGGTATATACAATAGCTCATGACTCTTCACCAGTGACTGTAAACCCATTTCACTGGTTGATACAGACTGAACTTTCATAAAGAGGAGTTTGAAGAAAGCTTGGAGGTTCCAGCCTAGGTGCTGCAGGTGAGTCCTTGGTGCCACCTGCTGACTGCAGCACAGATACCTGCCTGGCCATATTTCTAGTGTGAGTATTTGTGTCTTTGCCTGATGGCATTCCAGGGGTGTTACAGGATTCAAGTAAAATTATAATAAAAATCCAGTTGCTTTGGGTCTTGTTCTAGCACCCCGTATGTTGTGTGTGTGGCAGGAGGGCTGTGCTGGCACAGAGAAGAGTGAGGCAGCCGCAAGTCACCCGAGTCTCCAGTTGCTGAAGGAGGCATGTGTTGAGGGCTGCTGAGATATTCAAACTTTGCCTTCCTGCTCTGCCACTGTACAGAATTTGAGCTTAGAAATTCAACTCAGCATAAATTTGTGCTTGCCCTGCGGGCTGTTCACAGGTTGTGTGTTTTCCTTTGGAAACGGAGGGCCAGCAAAGACCGGGACAGTGGCCACTTCTGCCGCTCGTGCTGCTAGAGCTGGGGTTTGTGCCTCTGCTCGCGGTTTTGGAAGTCCCCTAGTTCCAGCCCCAGGAGGCAGAAGGGGTGTTACTGGCCAGAAGAGGGTGCAGTGTTACTGCATAATGTTGTAGTACTTCAGCTCGTGGGGGTCTAACAGTTACCCCTAATTTCAGTACCCTTGGAGTGCTGCGCAGGATAGACACCTTCAGGGTGGCTGTCACAGTGCCTGTGAGATGTGAGCACTTAACCTATGGGGGAAGGAGTCAAAAATAGCCATAAAGGGACTTTCCTCCAAAATGCAGTTGGCAAATATTTTTTCCTGCCAAATACTGAGACAAAATACTTTCCTGGCTGGTATGCTTTGAAGTAAGATTGAATCTAGAAAATCATCATAATTTCATTATAATAATGTTTCACAAATATTAAATGAATACCAAATGAAGGCAAGTTGACTCTAGAAAACATGAGGGTATTATTTCCTGGGCTGATTCAGAAATAGCAGAAAACAAATCTAAATCACTTTATTTCCAGCGAAGGATGAAAGCTTAAATAGTCTCAAGTCTGTGAAAACCTTATGCTAAATACCAGGGTGTGTGTGTGTATGTTTGATTAGTTAAGCTATTCCACTTGCACTGGGTGTCATATGCTCTGCTGTGCATCGTTACTCAAGAGTAAAGCATAGGTGATGCTACAGATTTTACCACAGGTGGACAATCTCTCTCTCTGTTAATAGAGCATAGTTAATGTGGTATATACAAAGACTGATTCTTCATCTTAAATGTTATGCAGTTGCTGCAAAGTGATTAATTTATACTTGAAAAGCGTGTTTCTTTCCTCAGCAAGTTTCTGAAACAAATAAAGGTAATTAGTCACCTTCAAACCTGCAGCTTCAACAAGTCACCGTGAAGGATATAAGCCCCAGCGCATACTCTTTTGTAGTTACAGTGAAGGAATAATACTGAAACTGTCAAAGCTGATACACCACATTGGCTGTGTATGTGTCTATTATTGACAGAAGTCCAAAAGTGTTGGGTTAAGAGAGATTTGTGGAAAGGAGGAATATGTCTGCAAGATCATCTAGCAGCAGTGGGCCAGAAGCACAGCGTATAAATTCTAGCAGTCTCAAACCGAAATTCGTAGTGTTTTTTTAATAGTTTCATACCAGTATTGCATACTTCATAATGAGCTACAGACTTTTCCAGCTGTTTTTAAGTAAGTGCAGAACTCTATCATGTTCACTTTCAGTTTGAATGGAAAGAATTTTTTGTACTGTGAGTTCAGCCATCGCATACTGCTGGCTTAGTGGTGTGCAGCAATGCACACATGTATGATCTGCATCATTTTTCATATGTACCTGAGCTCTCATAACCTGAGAATAGGATCTAGCATCATCCTCAGCATCCAGAGTCCACGAGGATCTGAGTTCTGTGTTTTACTTAGTCTATATGTCAAAGTATGTACTTATTTCAGTATATAAATATATTCATTCATATAAACAGGCATAATTCTGGCTTGAATTGGATTCAAGGGCTGAAGATTAACTTGTTTAATATTGCTTACTTTGACAGTAACTTACTCCAGAATAACTCGCAGAGAACTGTCTTTCAAATTTGTTATTCTTAACTGTGACGCAGACTTTTCTAAAGACTAGGGATATGCTGAGATCTTCCCACCAGCAAAAGAATAAACATTAAGACTCCTGTTAATCTATACTGTATAAACAAGTAGTAAAATAAATGAAATGAGACAGAATACTAGCATACACATGAAATGCAGACAGGATAATGTAGAAAATAATTCTCATATTTGAATTACTTCTGTAACTGAGATTTTTCAATTAATAAGTGTTTTGTCAGCCTGTCTTTACTCATGTGCATGAGTGAGTTTAAGTGAACCGAGGACATAAAATATGTATGTCAGACTGCAGGTTTTTTCAGGATGTAGATTTTCTTTTTTTTTTTTTCCAGAGGCTGTACATTGAGTTTTGTGTACATTGCATCCTGTTTTTTTAAAATATTGATCAAGCTAAAAATAGATTTTAAAAATGTGAACATGGAAGATGGAGGTGTAAGGGTATTCTTTGCTCAATGATCCAGTGCTTGTTTACTCCATAAAAAGCAGGTAATCTTAACTATGTATTAAAGACCTTGATGGGTCAGTCCTTCCTTCTGCCAGAGTTCATAATTTATAACATGCCTTTTTGCATCATGTAGGTGTGTTGAGAACTGGATATCTGTACACACTGGATTTATCATCATCAGTGTGGGTATTTGGAAATATTCAACAGAGCACAAATTGGCTTTAGAATTCTTTTCAGGAGCTGCTGATGGAGTTCTGTCCTTGAGTACAGCCACTGCTGCCTTTCACTGGCGGGCTGTAAGGGGGGTAGGCTTTCTTCCTACTTTTCATGAGCTCTTGGTTCAAAAGCATTTTCAAAATTTGCAGGTAGTGAGGGAGATAAAAGTTAAAGATACTTGTTCAGATGCAATAGTCGGTAAAAACTCCTTAAAAATACTATTTTTACTGCTGGAACATCGTAAAAATAAGGAAATGCTTTCAGCAGTAAGTTAAGTAGTAAACTAAGTAATCTTGTAACATACTATGCGTAATTAGGAAGATTCTCCCGTTAAGTGTGCAGGAATTTCATTAAAAGAAAGTGGTTATGCAAATGTAATGAGAAAACTGACTGGGTGACTGATAGCACTGTCAGATGAGAGGAACAGGGAGAAGCTTTTCATTCACTTGTGGTCTTCCTTTCACAGCTGGTGTGAGCTTGAGGTGACAGGTCTGGAATATGTTGGTTCTGTATTGCATCTCTATTTACTTCCCACTTGGAAATAAAACAGTTGCCATCCTGCTTATTAATTACAGCACTGTGAATAGATTTTTGTTGTTGTTGTCTATATCACTTTAAGATTGAAAAAAAAAAAAAAAAAAAAAGGAATTCCTTCCCCTTTTTTTAACTTGAATGGAAGCATATTTCAGTTTCAGAGCACTCAGTTCTGTCTGTGGTTACAGAGGTACATGCCTCCTCCCCTGCTACACTCAGATTTGGTATGAGTAGAGCCATCCCAGGGAAGTACGCAAGAGTTATGTTCCAAGGAGTGTTTTCAAATTCTTGAAGATTATGAATTTTTTGTCATGGTGTTTTTTCCATACTGTTCAAAGAGCAGGCACAGCCCACATTAAGCTGGAGCTTAGTCAAATTCTGATGAAACATGACCCGTTGCCCTTCCTGTCTTTGTTCCTTCCTAGTTTTAACTGCTAAAACTGCTGTAAGTGTTCCTGAAAAGTTGTGCCTGTTTATTAAAGTGTATGTGTTGAGAAAGATTGAGAATGAATTTTCACAAGCAACTACAGATTCTTTAATATTGTCCTTTCTTGATGTTCAGTAGGAAAAATCTAAGGTCCCACACTGTTGTGGGTTTCTTTATTTAAACCCTGAAACCTTGAATATCTAGCGCAGACAAATCCCTGAAGTTCGCATGTTTTCCAAGTTCAGACTTGGTCAGTAGCTAAACTAAACTCATCTAATTCTGTTTTGTTTTGTTTTTTTTTTTCCATACTTCAACATGACCCTATTTTTACCGTTCTTTAAAAAAGGAAAGATGTTGCAGTCTTCTTCCTGCATTTCTCTGCCACTTACTCAGTTTTTTTAATTCTAGGTAATTTGACACTAAAAAGCAGCCAAAGTACTGACTGTGTCCTCTGCCCAATACGGAAAGGAAGCTAATGAAATATGGTGAAAGGTGTTTTGTTCTGTAGCAGAGTTTCTGAATCAGTGTTCTCAGTTCATCTGTCGTCCTCTGTGACAGCTACATACCATTCCCTTGCTTTCTGCAGAATCTTAATCCTTCAGTGTATAGCACATACAGACAAAATAATGGACAGCTAATCCTTTCATCTGGCCTTTAAAAATTGATCTCTCTCTCTCTGGGATAATTGATATGTAGCAGCCTCTCTGTCAGTGCCAGAAGGGAGGCTTACTTCTGAATCATAAGTTAAGATAATGCACAATTTTCAAAGGTCAGCAGTATCTGTGAGCATGTTTCCTAACTTTTTCCCTCAAATTAACCAGATATGGCCATGAAAATACATGGGATGCTCTTCAAAGGTTTTTCAAACATTCCTGTTCTCTGTAAATGATTTAATAAAATATCTAGGAGCAGTTACCTAAAATAGCATTAATTTGTATGTTTTCAGGGTATAATAATAATAACTGTGACAGCATCTGCAAAAGTACAGCAGCATTTTGTAGAAATTTGGCTCAGAACCATAGAGAGAAGGCTGACAACTCTCAATAAATGGGACATCTTTATAAGCCAGCGTCCCACGTGGGTGATGAGTACATACTCACCTGGTTTCCAAAGGCTTCAACATAGAAAACTGCATTTCACTTGGTAGATGTATCAGGCTGCTGTAGTGTTGAAATGAGAATATGCTTGAAGTGAACGTAGGGGATTAGTAAGATTATAATAGGAGCTAGAAAGCGATTGAGAAGAGCCTGATATGTGATCAGGAAGGTCTGGTTCGGTTCCTGGTAACGGACATTTCTTTCCCCAAATCCCTTACCGTTTTGGTTTCCAGTCTTCTGTCCCTTGTTTAAAGTTAAGCATTGCCAAGTGCTGCATTCCTCTTACTGGACTGTGGATTTCTTATCACTGATAAAGTGCAATTAAAGAGGTTAAGGAATGATATGGAGGAAGGCACTGCTTAATAATGAGGCCTTGCTATATAGCAATTTGTTATTTCCCCTAGTACAGACTGTTAAGACTCAAATGCTTTTATAACTCTACTAATTTGAAGGCAAAGCTGCCTAAGATTTTCTCTGTAGGAAAATTGACTGGCATAGCTGTTGTAGAAGAGGCCGTCTTATATGCCTACTCTCTTCCAGAAGGTCACACTGGGTGGCTGCAAGAAGAATTTCTTCCAGATAGATTACACAGATGAGTGGAACAATTCTGAAATAAAGTCACTTCAGGATAAAGTATCCTGAGCTTCCCAGACACCAGTACCAATTGCTTTTCCTGGCTAGGAGGAGCCAAGGCTGTCCCGAACTAGACAATGTTCCCAACAGTTTTTACGTAACAAATTAACTTATACACTCTGCTTTTGATTCAAAGATGGTAGCTGCAAAAAGAACCTGAAATTCTTTCAATGTGGTCAGTAGAAATGGCATATCGGGTTTTTTTTTATTATTATTATTTTTACAGGTGGATTTATCTAAATGACCAGAACCTATGTATCCCAACTAGTTCGTCCTTTGTGTATGGAGCTGTGCCCATTGGAGCCAGCATATATGTGATTGGAGATCTCGATACAGGTCAGAATTGGAGCTAATACCCTTCTGTTGTTTGTTGTCTTCTAGTCTCATGGCACTGAGACAGAAATTTTTTTAGAATAAAAGGCTGGGACTATGTTCTGTTAAGTTACTGTTGTCTTCAAGGGAATTATGCTGGACACATAGAAATGTGCAGGTTGGTTTTGTACATTGGAGCTCTTCAGAAACAGATTCAGTGCCATAAGCATTTGATTGATTAGCAGTTTGGAGATCAGAAGAGATCAAGACTAAGATCAAACCACAACAGTATGTTACTGCATCTGTCTAAATATAAGAAAAAATGTTAGTGCCTGAGGTGGTTTCTCCCAGCTTTGCAGCGGTAAGCAGGTGGTTCTGCATTTTGGGGACATTGTCCAGTGGTTTGTTCATACGGATGTGACAATGGCTCTTGGCTCTAAATCCAACTGAATAGATGGGTGCTAACAAACATAGTCAATACTCAGCTTTCAGCATCTGGTGACATACTGTAAAAAACATTTGGAAGACTACATGCTTCCGTGGCCATATGTACATACATGAGTGTGTAACGGGGCTTTCTGAAATTATAAAAGAGCAAATTCCAAATGTGCTGGGTTTAAGTAGATAAGAAATGTTGTAGTAGTTTCCTCTTGGCAATAATTTCAACCGTACACCCAGAAATTTATTTGTGTTTCTGTGCATGCTCCTGTTCACGTTTGCCTTCTTAGAGGTTAAATGTGGTTATAGCCACAATATGTTTAAGTATTTTATCCTTTTTTTTTTTTTGTGCATGTGTGAATTCAGGTACAAATTATGACTATGTTAGAGAATTTAAAAGAAGCACGGGAACCTGGCAGCGCACTAAGCCACTGTTTCCATCGGACCTCCGCCGTACTGGCTGTGCAGCTTTGCGGATTGCAAACTGCAAGCTCTTTCGACTGCAGCTTCAACAAGGATTATTCCGCATTCGCGTACCTTCTCCGTGATCCGTATGCTGACAGTGGAGGAGACTGGAAGAATTCTGCGCAGTCCACCATAATATAGCTCTATATAAAGGAAAAGCTGAGAAATTACAGCTGAAACTTACACTGTATGCTGTGCTTTGGTATGGTAACTGTTTTTGTTTTAAATGCTTAAAAAGCTTGAGTCTCAGTTCTTGTTTCGGGAACAAATAACTTAAGTATACATTAAAAAGAAGAGAGGGGGGAAAATAAAAGGGGGGATCAAGGAAACACCTTCAATTGTAACCATTTGGAGTCTAAACCATGCTATTGAAGGAGGTTTTTTGTGTCTGAAAGTGGTGAGAAGTGGTATTCCTTTGGCGAAGTTTATTGAAAAGCAAAAAAGATTTAAGATGTGTTTCCCCTGAGGGGAACTGATAAGAATAAAGGTGCTATCTTGGACTGGATAGCTATAATACACAGAAGCTATATGATAACCAACCTCCCTGGTATACTGCAAAGACTGTTGTTTGACCGTAATGCCATAGGAGATGTTGGTTGTTGCACCTTTTATTTCTAGTCCTTCCTCAGAAGTTAGGGTCTGTGCCTAAAAATGGTGGAGGTGTGTACATATGGTTTTTCATTCATTTGCAATGTTTTCATTCCTACAAATATTTTTAATATATTTAAAATGGACTAACCTGAAATGGATACAGTATACTACAGAAAAGTAAACTTTTTTCTATGCTGTCATTTGAATAGCCTGATGAACTGGTGTGCAGATGGGTGGCGTGCGTTTCTGTGTGGGCTTCGGTGGCTGTTTCCTTGAAGTAGAATGGGAAACGGTGTTTAGAATGGTTAATGATGATTGCTGCTTTTGGTGAAGGACAACAACTCGACAAAGTAAAGAAAATAGGTTGTGTTCCTTTTTACTTCGGATCTGTTGCAAACTAAGAATGGTTTTTAAGACTGAGCATTATAGAAAGGTGTGTTTTATCTCTCTCAGAATAGAAGTGAAACACGACAAGGATACGTTTGTTTTGCAGAAACCATGATTTTTAGACTAAGAGTTAAGGAAAATTTGTTCAGTGACTTTAATTTGGGATCAAAAGTTGGTTTACTAATGATTTTCGTGCTAAGGTACAGTCTTGTTTACTGCTGTCTGACTTTGAAAGCTGGGGTTTATGGTGTGATTATTGTGAAGAATTTAGTATCTTGCAATTTATTTCTTACTAAGTCTTGTTCTCATCAGTAGCAATATTTAATTGACTTTTGTTCGTAGTCAATATCAGCTGGTAGAACACTTTTACCTCAATTTTTGATTTCATTATTCTTGTGAGGGGTGGGACATAACCTGTATTTATTTGAAAAGAATAAAATGAGAGAGATGGAAATAGAACTAAGACCTCCTGCCCTTCAGAAAAAGAGACTTTGTATAACCAGTATTATGACTACATACAATACTTACCACTCTGCAACTCTGTGGACCTCAGACAAACCAATCTCTGCCCTCGGTTGCGTTAGCCTAAACCTTCATCATCTTTATTGAATCGGTTTAGGTATGCTGAAATAGAATCCCAAATTAGTACAAAATAGTTATATTTCACTAAATATTCCTTGAAGAGATGTTCTGAAACTTACTTCTGCTCAGTCCTTCCATAGCACTGATGTGTGGTTGGAATTACTCTGATTCTGAGCAAAGGGGTGGGAAGAAAAAAAGGGCAGCATCCAATCCACTGACCATTATTTATTTTTTTTATTTTTTACAATGCTGAAGTGCTGCAAAACTTGAATTATATACATCAACTTTCTGACCTATATTAGTTGGCATATCAAAAAGTTTATATATTTATGCATTGCAGTAAACTTGGTGTGTGTGTGTGTGTGTGTGTGTGTGTGTATATATATGTCTTTAGATTTTAAATTTATATATAATGCTTTACTAAAGAAATGTGAACCACTCTTTCCATCCTTGGCTGTCTTGTGAAATAAATCAAGTGCTGTTAGTTTATCTGTAAAACTTCCCAGTTTTGAAAATCTTCAATTGTTCAATATTTTTTCTTAGACAAAGTGCCAAGATCCCATATTCAAAAGTGATGAGTGTTTCTAAGTATCTATTTCACTTTTGAGCTCAGTTTTCTAAGTGGCTTAGAAAACTTTTGAAAATGTTATTCAGAATATTGCAGGCTGCTATCTCTTGAGTCCCTGTAGCTTCCCAGTATACTTGAGGGCATTCAGCATCCAGAAAACCTAAGTAACAAATGCACATAAATCCAAATCATATATACTCTATCAGTGTTTTGCCGTTAATGAACCAGATGTTTACATGTAAAGTAGGATTAACAGTAGGTTTTCTGTTGTTGTGGTTTTTTTGTTTTGTTTTTTTTTTTTTTAAAAAAACAGAAATAAAACAAGCCTGCTGTCATTTAGAGCATGTTGCAAATGCACTTGGTGAGATATAAGCAAGAAGTTTGAGCCTCTTCACCTGAAACAGTTACAAACTTAATTTCCTAACAGGCGTGTACTCCTGTCAGTTCCTGGGCAGTTGGCAGCCAGGGACCAAGTCTCTGGAGACCCTGTCTCCTGGAGTTTCGGGGATGTGCTCAAGCCGAAGATTTAAGCACTCCTGAGATCTCAAAACTGGCTTCCTTGGCCTTGCTTCAAGGGGATGGGGATCATTCCCCACCTGCCTTGCCTGTGGGGCCGATCCGGGAGGTGCGCTAGCCTCTGTGTGTGTGCGGGAGGGAAGGGGTGCGTCTTTCGGGGTCTGACTTGTCTGTCTGTCCAGTTTTGAGCGGCAAGCCCGGTGAGGAGTGCCTCTCTTGGGATGTGCAGTAACCAGGCTCGACTGCCTCCCAGTTTGGAGCAAGGCTTTGAAGGCAAGGCTCTGCTTTCTCCAGGGAGAGCCTGGTTGTAGAGGTGATGAGTGGGGGAGATGACCTCTGACTTGGGAAGGAGATGGTCGACTTCAGTAGAGGAGGGAGGCTTTGGTACCAGAGGCGCTGAGTGGAGGGGGGTCACCAGGTTACTGAGCGTGTCGAACATGCAGACACCTACTGATTGAACTGGGTTCACTGGTACATGCCATCACCCCAGCTGTCCCTGCTTCCCTGATGGCCGCGTACCCCTGCATATGCTGGCTGAACCACACGGGAAGCAACTCGTGAATTTGCTCAGTTGGTAATCCAGGGGGTTTAGGTGGTTTGGCAATTTAGAAACTTGTTTAAGTTGTCCTTGCCTGGCCCAGTAGCCTTAATTCCTTCCCGCTCATGAAAGACCAATGTCTGTGTCACTGAAGAGTGCCGCTGATTTGGTGCCCAGCACACCCTGAATCAGGGCTGGGTCCTTGGTGTGTGGCTCTCAGGTGGTTGCATCTTGAGTCAAGCTCAGCACAGTCCCAAACGAGGACTGGCTGGGACATGTTGCAGGCTTGAGTGTCTTGCGTTGGGCTTCTGTGTCCTTTCCTTCCCCCTGCTGTAGAATTGGACAAACCCCAGCCATTGTAATCAGAAAATTGCCAAATATGGGGTAGGGGTTGTGGAAGATGAGAATAGTAGTGGCTTCTTTCTCCCCTCACTCCACCTCTTACCACAGTTCACCCCGCAAAAAGTTCCCTCTTCCTTCTTTCATGTGCCACAGATTATTTTTGGAAAAACTCAGGAATTGCTAATCTAAGGGTAGAATCAAAAGTTTGAGTGTACAAGCGGGGAAAAAGAGATAATACCATAAGCACACAACAATGTCCTCTGTGCTTGTTTTACGCATGTAGTCTTGCGGCTGCTTTGCACAGCAGAAAGAGTGATGACAGAAGCAAAGGTGTAAAGTGCTGTTGCTCTCATAAAATAAATCTCTTGGGTTTCTTAGGGAGGCACACACCTGGCCTGGTCTCCATTCCTTACTTGGCCCTGTGAGATGCTCGTGTTCCTAAAGAGTCTGTGCTGGATTTCAAATTCTCATCCTTTCTGTTCTATAACCTGAAAAAGAGTCATCTTGAAGAGTCTTTTGTTATACCACAGCAAGGACTGTCTGTCCTCAAATATTTTATCAGCTAATCTTTAAGGTTTAGTTATTGTGAAAATGCGTATTAACTTGGTTCTTCCTGGTCAAGTGACTTTCTGTAATTTTGAGGGTACCTCATCCTTAAACTGAAGGCAAATTAATATGAGATTACACAAAAGGATAGTGGTGAATCTGAAAACAAAAGCAAAATTACAAAATCAGCTCACTAATAACTGTGGGCAGGCTTTTATCCCTTTTTCTTTCAACTTCACAGAACTTGCACGTCACACAGCCTGCCTTCTGAAGCAGACTTCTTGCTGGAAATAGGAGTTTTTTCATCAAAGCTACTGAAGCACCTGGCTTGCTTTATAAACTCCCCCTCCAGAAAACACCAGGCAGCTTAATTTCTTTCTGCAATATTTCTTGTGCCTGCATAACTTGGTAAATGCACAAGTACAAAAGGGAGGGATTTAGGGAACATTTCCCCCTGTTTTAACCACAGTTTCTCTGGTCGGTTCCATAACTACTGTGGCTGTACAGCCTGCAGGGGTTTTGGTAACGTGCGTGTGCCATGCAACGTGCAGGATGCAATAACAAATGCAAATTGTTACAAGTGCCAAACTTTTGGTTTCCTCTGTATATAACAATAATTCAACTGTTCTAGTAAAATACAGAGATGCTTAAAATTCACTGTGTTCCAAAAAAGAGCAATGTTTTTTTTTTTTCTAAAACAAATGCTATTGAAAACACTGTAAATCTTTTTTTTTTTTTTTTTTTAAATACTGTTCTGCAGGTTTGTGATACTCTTCACAGCTGCCTTGAGACATCACTCTGTGTGATGCATATGGACACTTTGCTCTTTATTAGAGCATTAGTGCCATGCAAGTATATAGCAAATGGCAGCTGACAACAGGTTTTAGTATTTAAAATTATAAATATTTAGATAAAGTGCAATTTGTTTGAAGTAATCTTACCTGCAGAAGGAAAGCTGTGTCTTGGGAAGTATGACTATGCCCAGGGACACAATCATACAGAGGATTGTAACTAAGGTATGTTTTGGTGCCGCTCGCAGCAATGCTTTCCAAGGAGTTCTATTTAACTTGGGGTATGGATCCTTTCTGACTCTAACATTAGCATCAAAGTTTTGGGGTTCGTGTTTTCTTAACTCTTTGGAGTGCTTAAACAGCCTCTTCAGGTGGGTAGGAGGGGTGTTCATTATATACATGTTTGTTTTGTAGTTAGTAGTTACTATTTCCATCTTGGAGTATTTCCTTTTACCGTTAAGGAACGAGTACAGGCCTGTGTTTCAGTCGTCAGTGCTGTAGCCTTTTGACATTTGCCATTTTCTGTTGCTCTTCCTCATTTGTTATTGGAGTTGAGAGCTACATCAGAAGGGTCTGTGTTTCCACGTCACGCTACTTGCGAAAGAGAAGAACTTTCTGATCACTTGAGATTGGGAAGATGAGCCAGTAAAAGCTGACTTGGAGATACCACTGTAAAGCCAGTAAGATTTGGGCGAAGCACCCCGTGTTTTCTGTAGGGGTCACACCCGCGTGCTCTGAAGTTTATTGATAGGTTGGGCACCTGCTGTCCAGCATCCCTGTAGTTTTGGGGGTTGTTTTTTTCTGGGAAATTTCTTACTGTAGGAAGGATTGTAGCCAGGCTTTAAGGGGACGTGTCTGGTCAGCCATGCCCTATATGACTCTCTAATCTAACTGCTGTAGTACTCCAGCAACCAATTCTCTCAAATTTTAGATTAACAGGTAAGCTAAAAGAATATAAAGTCCTGTGAAGTGCCTAACTAGATAAGGATTAAGGGTAATAGGAGAATTAAACTATAAACTGCTACCCGCAGGTGATTAAGTTGTAAATTTGTTGGTGATACAAAATCTTAAAGATATTTTTGGAAACGGCTTATTCAAGGTAGCTGCTTATTAGTTATAAAAATAATTAAAATACATAAAAATTTGTTTAGAATAATATTTGAAGGTTATTTGAAATGATCTATTGAAATGTCCTCAAAGTGAGCTAGAAGACTGGAACTTTTCAGTGTAAAAGGCTAAATCTTGTTGCCCAGTATTTTTGCAGGGTTTCATGTGAATAACAAACACCTGCCAGAGCGCATCAGTAAATGAACATGCTCAATGCCATTGCCTACCTATGCCCTTGAATTTTCATAATGAAATGAGACTATACTGAGCCCTTGTAAAAGCTGATGGATCTGATTTAAAATAATAGGATGGAAAGAAACATCCCCCATGTAAGTAACATTATTTTATTGATAAAACATGAAAATGTAATTTTTTTTTTTTTAAATACTAGGTACTTTTGAATCACCACCTAATGTCCTTGATTTTTTTTTTTTTTTTTTTTCTGTGCCTTTGCTCATTACTTTCTTTTCAGTTATTGCTAAGACACTCTGTTTTTGTCAAGGGCAAGTTTCTTTAATCTGTAGTTCTAAACCCCAGTCAAAGCCTGAAGGATACCATTTAAGCAGGCTGTACAGTGGGCTGCTTTTACAAGTATAATTTCTGTGCATTCTGTTAGCATGCTGCTACCTCTACTAGTTTCAGCATAGAAAAAAACTTGTAGAAAAATATTGCACCTAATGAAATGAAGAGCCATTTTGAAAAGTGTAAATTTCAATTTGCAATAGGCAGCAGGCTACAAAAACCTTACCCCTGTCTGCTTGAGATCCTCACGTTAATGATCTCTAATGCTAAATCTTCAGCTAGGCAGCATCTGTTTTATTAATTTACACATGATAGCAGGAAAGCATTTTCATCCTTGTTGTTTGTTTCACAATTTTCAGGTCTTAAAAAGTGAAGTCTGCTTAATTATTAGAATAACTAAACCAGTACACCGGAGTATCTGGCAAGGTGTTCAAGTTGAACGGAGCTGACATTCTTTAAAGCTCTTGTTAAAGTTTCTCTCTGAAGAGAAGCCAATGGCGTACCCTCTTAAGAAATACTTTCAAACTCTTTCAGCACTAGTCATAAACTAGTCCAAAGGTCTCTTCTGGATTGCTTAGAGAAGCCAGGATCTGCTCTAGCTTGGGGAAAGAGCTGCTTTTGTTTGCTTGGGGAAACAGCTGCAAAGTCAATTTTAAGTTGTTGTGTTGTTTTTTTTGTTTTTTTTTGTTTTTTTTTTTACTCTCCAACTTCCAAAACCTAATGATTTTCTTCTTGTAATTGAAACTTTTGTATTTAAGGGTCTGAGACTGTATTTTGCAATGTATGGTGAGTATTCTATCGTAGTTTAATGGATGTAAGCAGCAAGCTGTATTCTGGTGGACTCCTAGAAGGCAGCATTGCAGTGTTAAGGAGGAAGGAAAAGTATCAGTAAAACAAGATTTCTCCTTATATTGCCCATGGCCTTGCTGTGTGTATCTGATGGGGCAAGAGGCTGGTTTTGGCACAGAGCTTGTGTAATTGCCACCCCTTGCTGCCCTCAGTTGGGACGTTGCCCAGCTGCAGACACGTTGAGTGCCGGAGGACCCGAGGCTGTGTCTGGCTGAGAATTGACCCCCAAAGCCCTGTCAGACCAGGGGACGCGGATTCCTGGGCGTACCCCACGCGTAATGCTGCTTTCTGGTCTCCGTTGTTTTGTCTTCTGCTCTTATTAACAGGATTTTGCTTTCACTCTTGCCCCAAGCTTACTTTTGAATGCATTGCTTTCGATGATGATCGCTAGGAAGAGCTCCTGTGCGTTGGAGGACATCCATGCAAACTTGATCTTTCTGTCTACTGGCTTTTTGCACATCTCTGCATCCTTTTACTCCACTCAGTGTATGCGCGGGGAGGCCTTGATACACGATGAAATTACTTTTTCTTCAAGTTTGTAAAACTAATGTCAGCAGATTAGAGATCACCTGAACCTCTGTAAGCAGTGCTGTAGGTAGGGCTTGTGTAGCCCACTCCCGTGTCTGTGTGTTACTTGTGGCTGGAAGTCTGCTGCCTTGTCCGTGGGGAAAAGCCCCTGTTCCCAGCTACCTCATTTTTTTTCTTTGCACTTTGTCAAATCTTTTTTCTTTTCTTTTTTTAAAAAAATTGCATTTTGTCCTTCAATAAAAAACTAAAAGCAGGCAAGAAGCAGGGCAGAATGATGCCATTGTCCAAGGACAGTTTACTTTAATTTCATTTTAAAAGCATGTTTCTGTACAAAAAGACCAAGGTTGACCTGCAGCTGCTGTAAAAAGTAAATAAAAATGTATATTACTTGAAAGTAACTATTATACTTGTAAATGAGAGAGACAAGTGAAAGACTGTCCTGACAATTTTTAAATAGGAAAAAATCTGTTTAAAAAATAGAAGTCTGCTCTTATAAAGACAGATCAGATAGTTTTCTCTCTGCTTCTACTCTGTGCTGTGTTTCCTATGAATTTGATCCGTTATCTTAATAGGGAGATTCAGTGGTTGTTCTATAATGTCTAGTCTGGATTTTTTTTTTTTCCATGGAGTTCTGCATTTCCTCACCTACAGAGGAGAAACTGTGCACAAAAATACCCATCTTCTGTACCTGAGATTATATATTTGCCCATTTCTTTGACCTCTTCAAGTATGCAAGGTTTTGCTTAGCTTGAAGAATTTAAAAGGAAAAAAAAAAAATTGTTTTCTTCTGCTTCTGAAGGTGCTATTACACTGTGCTTGACTTCTTAAAGTACCAGTGTAAGCTGATAATCAGCTTGTGTTTGTTCTCTAGGTTTGGTTTTTTTGAGTATTCAATCCTTTTTTGAAACAACATGCCTTTTCATAAAGACAGCTTCCAAACTGTAAAAGGCCTTAATAATACAAAATATAATAGGGAAATGCTGCCTTTTTTTCTTTCTTTGCAGAGGTAAAACCAAGAAATGCTTCATGGGGAACATTTTCCTCTAAAATTTTAAGTAGCAGCTCATATTAACTTCGAATTAAATGTAGCAAACACTTCACTGGCCGCGCACAAATAGTTAGGGATAAAACAAGGAGCTATTCATGCCTCTGCGGACTGTACTAGTTAGTTGTTAATTCCAGAGCCTTCTCTTGGCATCATGGTGGCTACTCCATAAATATTAATCTTCTTGGGCTCGGTCCCAGGACCTGGCTGTGTGGCGTCCCCTGCGTGTCTGGGACACACCAACCCCTGTGCCTGTCGGAGCACCTGCATGTCGGGCCAGGGACGGGTTTTGCCTCAGCACTTGCCTGCTCAGCCCTTTTTTGAGGCACCTTTTTAGGTGGCTGCCAAGGTCTGTTCACCCCGGAGGGTTTAGCTGCCCCGTGCCGAGGGTGGCCAGAAGGTGGAAAGAGGGAAGCTACCGACCGCTGCCATCGCTTGGTAGATCTCAGGAGATGGCTCTTGTAATTAGGGAGCTGAATTTTAGTCCTGTGTAGGAACTTTGTTGTCATCCTTGTTGAGCTGTCTTAAGTTTTGCTTAATCTGTATCATCAGTTTGGTTTAGGGATTTGATAACTTAACATTGCTAGAAGTTTTCATTCTGTGGAGGACATAAAAAGCCCATGCTCCTGCCCGGTCTGAGGCAGCAGGAAGGGTCAGGGGGGTTGATGTTTGAAATTGTCCCATCTCCAGACATCGGGTTACTGCTTTTTTTGTAGGCTTCACTGTCCCAGTGGTGTAGCATTTCTCAGTCTTGTTAATCAAAGAGCCCTTTAGCCTTTTGAGAGGCATCCAGAGACTGTCTTGTCCTGCTCCCACTTCACATGTTGGGTGCTGCCCTCTGGACCATCCTGACTTCTCCAGGAGCCACAGGCTGGTGGCCTTCATGAAGAGTATCTGTGTTATCTGCAGCACTGTCTGAAAAACAGCCAATAAATGAGGGACCATGGAGAACCCTACTGAGCTTGCAAATCCTTAATCCTCTTAATTTAGGGAAGACTGAAGAGCAGCACCACTCATTGCCAGGCCTGTGCCCAGAGTCTGAGCCTTGCAGCTGCGCCCTGGCAACACGGGTAAGGATGAGTCCACCCTGTCTCTTGCATAGGGGTAAGATATATAAAGGTTTATGGGCTGAGTGCTTTAGGAGATCTAATATTTTACATTTGTTCTGTTTAAATCTGAAACTATTGGAGGCTCTGGAACTATTTCTGCAGGGTGGAACAGCAAGCATTGGCCTAAGTAACTGGGGAGCTCCTGGCTACCTGGTTTTCCCCTCCACTTTTTTGAGAAAACAGAAGTGTGTAACTGCTCAGTTTGTATGCTTGCTGTTTAATAATCTGAAGTGGGAACCTGACTAACTGAGATTGCCTTCAAAAGGAAAAAGCAAACTTAAAACAATTTCTTCACATCAGGTGATGTACCTTCAGAGTTTTGCCTCTGTAAACCATGTTTATTGAGTACCATGAATCTTGTAGGATTGGACTAAAGAATTGAAATACATATTATATGAATGAAGACTAATATGCTTAGTCTGACTTTGTACTGTAAAAATATTTTGTTTTAGTATAAGAGAATGAAATAACAACAGCAATTATATTGATGAATCCAGTTATGGTATCTGTATTCCATGAGCCATGTAATAGGAGAGTGTTGGAACATAATGCTGCATCGTTTTTGCTCTTGTAAAGGTTCATTGTTCTGTCAGATATAAGATCTTGATAATTACCAGGATATTGTCAGAATATATTGCTGCTTTTTCTACAAAAAAATATGTCAGTGTGGTCAGTAGGAACACTCACCTGGTCTTGTCTACCACCCCTGGCATGCAGCTTGACAGCAAGGTTTATTCCCATCATCCAGCTGTCGTGCTTTGACTTCTGTATTGCAGGTATGTTTGCTGTAATGGGCTTTTTATGTGCGTATGCTTTTTGTGGGTCTTTTTGTGCTTTGTGTGGGAATAGATTTTGCTTTTATTTCCTTATGTACCCACCCCAAAATCTTCCTGTATTGCTTTAGAAATGAATCCACGAATCACTTGGGGCCAGGCTTTGGAATGCTCTGACCTGAGCCTGTTGAGTTACTTCTGTTAAAAACAGGGAAAAATAAGACGTAAATGCTCTTTGACCTCAACCAAACTATGCAATATAGCACATCAGAGAGCTGAATTCCTTGTGATACAGAAGATCCACGGCTCTTGTGTCCTTCCAAATCCAGTCCTTGGTCCAAGGTTAGGAGAACTTGTACTCAGTGGCTGCCCAGGAATCTTGCCTCCAAATCATCTCTTGTTCACTGGTTTTCCTCCTTCCCCCCTGCCTTGCCCATCGGTTTGTTAGGTGTTTTGGCTCTGAACAATGTGCTGTCCAAGTGTATCCCTCCTGTCAGTCTCGTATTGTCGATCGGAGCTTGCCCTGTAACCCCGCCAGCGTGGCTTACCCGCTGGAGGGACTTAGGGGCCACTTCCCGACGTTTGCATCTCTCTGCTCCAGAGCATGTTGGGCGGTTTGGGTTTGCTGTGCCCCTCCGGGCAGATGTAGGTCTTGCTTTTATGTTCCTGTGCTGTTCAGTTGTGGGTCTGGTGCTTACAGTAAAGAATACCTGTGATGTCTTAAATCCAGTCCAAGTCAGTTTTCATTTCCACCACTTATGCGTCTATATGTGAGTTTGATTTTGCTGCTTCCGTGGCAATTCCGGGATAAATGCCCACGTGGTCAGGACTGCTGGTAAAGGTTCTTTGTTCTCCTGTTGCTTCGGTTTTCCAGTGAAGCTTGTTCCCTGTGTTCCTCTTCTTCCCCCTATTAAATACTAATAAAACCAGTACACTGTTTGCCCCTGGCTCTACACCCCATGAGTAGCTCTTCTCTACCAGTTGATCATGTCTTCCTACCTGTACATGCATTCTTCTGAGTAGTTTGCCTGTATTTGTCATTTATTTAACCCACTTTGTTCCCCATATGGTTTCTCCCTCCTGACTCCATTTACTATTTTGTCTTTCTTTAATTCAGGTTAACCTTGATTTATTTCTCTGATTTCAAAAAGGGATTTCGGTGCATAACACAGGAGACGAACAGAAAATCTCTCTGCAGATGTCTGTGTCATTCCCTTCCCGGCACAAACAGTGTAAGGGGTTCAGCCTGGTCCATTCCTAACCCCAGGTTTTCCTAGTGCTAGGCAGAACAAAGGCTGAAGGCGTTTCTTATTTCTTTTGGTAATTGAAAATATTTGGAGATTTTCTTCTTTGGCAGTAGCCACTGCAGATGAGCAGCTGGCATGCAAGAGGGTTGTTATGCTTCCATATTCAGTATTTTTAATTGAGGAACAAATAATTTATTTTGGGGAAAAATGTAAATTTTTTTGTATCTGTATGTCAAAGTGGCCTTTATAGGAAAAGCACATAAAATATTTCGAATAAAATTGCTTAGTTGTGTAATTTTAGTGGGGATTTTTGTATTGACAGGGTTTCTATGCATTTTTCAAAATATACTTGCTGTTTTGTGTTAGAATTATTAGAAATATTTTTAAAAACGTGTATTACCACATTTTCCATGGTTGATCCCTTTACTATCATTCCTTTTGAATACTACAAAGATTTTAATTAACCCTGTAAATTAATTTTCCCCCACAAATATTTGCATTAAGTCAATATAATGAGTTATAGCATGGGTATGTAGCTTTAAGGGAATAAGATTAGTAGTGTAGCTTAATTATGGAGAGACCTTTTTGGAGGAGGGCAGTACACAGTGTTTCAATTGCACTTAAAAGACTAAATTAGCAAATTAAGTTTTTGCTGTACCTCACTGGGATTTTTAAAACTCTGTCCATCCTATACTGTTTACACTTGAGCATTATTTAAATATGTACTATCAGTGCAGTATGCAATTCTCCTTCATTCTGTCGGGGTAATACTAATGTTAACAGATATGAAAAGTTTCAGAAAGTGTGTGGTATATTAATGGATATGACATGAATTTGGGGGAGGGAGGAGAGGTAAGTTAGATCCATTAGTGTATTTTTCAGTTTAATTATGCACACATTTTCACATTAGCTGAGACTAAAGTAACTGAACTTAGAATTGAATTATAAGTAAAATTAGTAGTTTGGGGGGTAGAGGGAAACAAAGAAGGGATTTGCAGAACTGCAGACAAAAATACCCTTTAGTTGCACTGCAGTGCAATTGCCTTGACTGCCTATGCAAAGTATAACTTGTGTTTGATACATCAGACACTTCTGGTACTGCTCTGATTTTACCTTCTCTTCTCGAGGTGTTATTTAAAGGCTTGCTAAGTAGAACCTCTTTGGGAATGTTTGTCAACTGATACTTCAGTTCTATCATTTTATGTTTGTATTTTAATTTTTGTTCTTGTTTCTGTTCCGTAAGAGATCCCACATCTTCATAGGTTAGTGTAAGTGCAAGCTTTTAGGCCTAGTAACAAACAAGCATTGCATGCTACCATGTATTCTCATAATTGAAGAAAAATGTGCAATTTTAATGGCACTTTGACCTATTGCTGAAACACTGGGTTTTGCAATGGAACAAACTCTCAACAATTGAAAACACTCTGTGTCTACATTAGATGTCTTTGAAAGTGAAGAAAAAGGCAGTTACTCCAGTTGTACCCACAGATAAATTTGGTATTGATTTTTTTTTTTTTTAAAGACTTTTATGATCTGTTATTAGAAAAATACACATTTCTTGGTTTACTTTAGTTGCCATAATTGCCCAGTGCAGAGTCTGGTCCACCTCCATCTATTTATTTTCATGGAGTAGTTGCACATAAAATTGTAACAGCAAAGCAGAAAAGCTGTTTGGTTACTTACTGGTAACCTCCCTTGCAGAATTGCCTTGTGGCTCACACACGATACGAAAAGGGACACAAGAATTTTCCTGGATTAAGTAGCACTCGCTTCGTTTACGTGTTCAGTATAATGTTGGGTGGCTAAAGGGAGGTTCCCTTTTTAAAGTATTTGACTTGTGCTTTGGGGACTTAGTTGCCACTGTGCAAATTGTGCTGTAATAATTGTACCAAGGATCAGTGGAAGTGTTTTATCTTTTTTAATGTTGTTTGTATTTGACCGGGTTTTATAAATGTAAGAAAACAGAGTGTTGTATTTTGATCTGAAATTTGCGTATGGTAAAAGTAACTTTGCTTTATGTATTGGAGGTTTGTTCAGAACTTGAATTATTTTATAGAAGGGTACAGACCAAAATTAATTGTCTTAAAGGTGTTTAATAAACTAACCAAATAAAACATTGATGGTTTGAAAACTTGTTAACTGCTCCTTATGTATTTTCTTTCTGTTTTTAAAAGAAAGGAAGAACGTAGCTCAAGATTTTCTCTCGGTCTTATGAAAAATGAAAAAAAAGTACAGTAGTACATTTTATAAATATCATCTCCCATGAGTTATCTGTTTTATTATTAAACATTCCTACGTGCCAGAAGTTTAATCAAAGGGGAAAACCCAAAGGAAATAAATGGAGGAGGAAAGGCAAAGGAAGCGAGGGGAGGTGGGAGCAGTCCCTCCCGGCTCTGCCCGGGCAGTGAATGCTGACGGCCGCTGGGCCGTGGTGACGGCCACTCCGGGAGAAGTGGGAGTGGGAAGGAGCTCCCGCTCACCTGTAACGGCTCTCACAGTTGTTTGAAGGTCTCTGTTCTCCCTTGCAGTCGCCTTCAGTTGTCCTCTTCACAACTACCGCTGCTTTCATGTGACCTTTAAAAGCAGAGGAGAAAAATATGTGAAGTATAACTGCTCCCAAGGGCGGGTACAAACAGCTCATTCCAGGGCTGCCAGATATTTGGCGACCCTCGGTTGTGCCATGGCGTGCATGCGTAACCTCTTCAAGTTCAGAGATCTGGAGTTTTTTAAAATGCCAAGCAGCTGCAGCTCAAATTAAGCAATATGCTTCCTTCTTCATGCTGCGCTTCTCCCTCTACTGATGTACTGGCCGTTGCTTCTGCTAGTGCTGCCTTTTGACTATTAATAGGAGGGTACGTTTGTCTGTGATTATAGGTGGGAGCACGATGACAGCAAAAAAATCAGCCACTGCAGCACTCCTATAACTTTTGATTTTCAGGAAAAGATATTATTTCACCCAGAGCTCTACCTTTTCTTAAATAAAAGGACACTGAGACAAGGCTGAATGTGAGCTGGCGGTCGGGGAAAAGCTGAGGTTTGGGGTAGCTTGGGCAAGGGGAGTGAAGGGGGAGGGCAACGCCACAGCTTCAAAGCAGAGTACAAAACTGGGTGCTGTGAACACGTATTTTAAAAGAGGTGGTGGGTGTTAGGACAGGGAAGTGGATATTTGCTCAATAAAAACCTTTTCTTTCTTAGTTCCCCAGCCACACCAAGTGAAGCACAGGTCCTGAGCCGCCCACCAGTTTGGTGCGGAGCGCCTGAGGCCTCCCGTGTAAACACGGGCTGATGATAGGGAGTTTTGTGTTGATTTACCCTTGTTGCTGGTGTTCCCATGGTTATGGCTGCGTAGATGGGCTCTGCCATATCTCCCCTGTCTTACTGAGTCTTGGAAACAAAGACAGGAGGGTGAGCTTGGATTTATCTTTATTCCACAGCCTGGAATCCTAACAGAAAGGGAAGAGGGCTGCTGCCTGGTTTCCTTTACCTTTTATGCACAGAGGAGATATACTTGAAGTGTCTATTTCTCCTTCGTTTTAACCCCTCTTCTTTTTTTTTCCCTAAAATACCAAGGAAGAAATCCAGACAGGGTTCCTTAAACAGGGTTTTCAGCTGAGGCTCTCAGGACCTGTGAGCAAGGCCTCCCGGTGCCTCCTTAAATGCCAGGTACTTGCCAAGAAGGCTACGTGCTCAGTTTACTCAACAGGACTTGTGACTCTCATGGTGTCTGTGCCACTGAGAATCACAGTTGTCCACGAGCTTCTACCCCAACCCGAGAGAAGAGTGTCCCACAAGATTTTTCCTGACAGATATGTGCTAGGAGAGGCAATGCAGTTGGCAAAGGCTTCCTGCAGGTCGAAGCTGGTGGGGGGGTGTCAGGAGCGTGGGCAGCACCGGCTTTGCTGAGCCAGGCTCTTCCCAGGGCCGGTGCCTCCTTGGTAAGAGGTGGCATCACTGTCCTTTGCAGAGTCCAAGTGTCAGAGCAGGCTTTCACCAGGCTGAGTCTTCCAGGTGAAGAAGAGAAAGGAGGTGATGTGGGAAGGACAAGAAGCTTTGCAGAGCAGGTAACTGGCTCCTGGCCTCCAGGATCTCAAATCAAGCATCAAGCCTTGCTACTCACTAAGCTCTGTGTTGCCAAGTCAGCCCTTTGGCACAATGATCAGTGGAAACTGTAACATTAACTGAAGAATTAATTGGTGTTCAGAATTCAATACAATCCTTCACTTTTTGTCTAGAAGCTGCTATAAAGTCAGAGTCAAAAATGAATGTGGATTCCCCTGGGTCCTGGGAAAGGTGCAAGTCATTTGACATTAATGTTGCTATTCAGCAGATTTTGACTGCTGCTCCAGGTGAAGCCAACAGCAGCAGGATCAGACCCATTATTTTTGCTTTTTTTCCAGTGTATTTGGACGCTCACAGACCAAGCTTTGTCACGTGTGGCCTCTAAGGAATCATGAACCCCAACACCATGGGCTGGGCTGAAGGAGTTGGCTAATGGAGAATTTACGGTAAGAGCAAAATGTATTTTTAACCACCAGGATATGCTTATCGTCAGGAAAGGGCAAGCAGCACTCCTATCTCTCCAGGGAAGGGGAAGTGTTGAGCGTGACTTTAGTTTTGTCCAACTCCTTTCCCATTCTGAAAGGTTGTTTTTTGTTTTTTGGATTTTTTTTTTGTTTTTGCTGAGACATGTCGTTGGATTAAATCTGGGAGTTAAATAGACATCAGTCCCGGGTCACAGGTGAAAAGTATTAAATGCTAGGCATGCAGTGTTTTTCCATTGCATGTGGTGTACGTTCAGGAAGGACCTTTGGAAAGAGTGCTTTGAAACGAATCTGTTTTGCTTTTTTAAATACACTGAGAGCTTGTCCAGAAGCTTTAATTTTTCAGGGCAACTTTGATGTTTTCTGTCTTAAAGACGAAAGAAGATTCTCCTCGCAGCCCTCTACCCTGCCTTGCTGCCTCTGGAACAAGCAGCACACCAGGTGCCTGTGATCTGGGGCTGCTTTTTGGCTTGGGTGCTTTGCTCAGCAAGGGGCTGGATAGGTCCCCCCTCTTGCCACGGTGCCCGTTTGAAGCCTGTGGCTGCGGGGCACTGGCAGCTGCTGTCGGCTCCCTCCCTACCTGCGCCCAGGGACGGCTGCCCTTGGATCGGGACACGAGCACAGGGTTCACCTTACCGGCAGCAGCGGGGCCCTGACCTTTTCCACAGCCTGCTCTGCTCTCCTGTTCCTTAATCCTGGCCAGGGACTAGAAAAGCCTTTAAATGAGACACATTGCAGTTTGCTTGCAGGATAGACAGTAAGGGTGCCTTTCAGGGCAGCTAGGCAGGAGGGGTTTTGCTGATCCCATAAATACTCGCTTGCCTGTTTCAGTCAGTGGAAGGAGTCACAAAGAAAAGAAATACTTTGAAATGCTAAAAGCTGCCTGAATGAAGAGGCAGGTTGAGGTTGTTAACCACAGTGCCTCGTACCATTCCCATGTGCAAGCAGCGCTGCTGCCCACCTCCTCAAAAACAGCCTTGCCCCATCAGCTGCAAGATCTCCCTCTTCTCCCACCTCTCCAGGCTTTCTCCTGCGTGTCCCCGGTGCCCCCTTCTTTAAGGATGGTTGAGTCCTTAATGTTCCTGCTCACGCTCTCTTTTGCAGTCTCAGATTTAGAAGCTGTAGCCTATACACTGAAATAATTACACCGTGCTTTAGCCCTGGCTGCAGTCTCTGCGCGATGAGACAGCCGGGCAGCGGGTTAGGCACGACCCCGCGGCCTGCCATCCGCGCTGGCTCACAGGCTACCTCGGTTTTGCTTCCACTGCTGGATGCAGTGACCTCGTGCTGCGCTGCTCCTCCCAGCGGAGTGGCTGAGTGGGTTTGTCCTAGATTTCTTCTCCTTGATATGCTTATGTCTGAGGGTGAGTCACCCCAGGCCTGGGGAGAGGGAGATGTTGCCCCAGGCACTGCTCCACTGCTGGGTCTGAGATCTGAATGTGTCCTTGGGAAGGGCCTATCTGTTCCCATCAGCTGCCGACAGAGCTGGGGGCAATGCTCTCCCCGCTGAAGAGCTCGACATCAGGTGGGGTGATTCTTGGCTCCTTGTTATCTGTGCTTCTGCAAGTTTTGCTGATTTGCAATTAAATCTTCTTTCATGTTGGTTTTAATCGCCCTCTCGGTTCCCCATACTGCAGAGTAATGCTGAAGAATCCATTTTTAGCCTTTCAGTTCATCTGCTCCTCATTTCGGCTGTGTCTGTACTGTTCTCCTTGCTGTCGCAATGTGAAATATTCAGGGAGAAATGTGAAATTCCCTCATCTCAGAGTCATGTACCACATCTTAAAGCTTGCCATGAGGCACAGGAACGTTCCTGGCTCTACCTGCTTTGAAGAGGAAACAAAGGAAAGCTGCAAGCACCATGTTGTCTGGTCTTGGCAGATGCTTTGGAGACCAGCCCATTTTCATGAAAATGAGGTTGTTACTATTAGTTTATTTTTTGTCAGGACCTAAGCGATTCCTCAATCATTTTTCCATTTTTATAAAGCAGTTTGTGAATCACACACATTTAAAATTAAGGAGTTAGCAAATGCTGCTTCCCTTTGATGTACATTAATCTAGCTTTCTTGATTTTGTAACTGCTCCCTAGAATTTTCCATCTTACTATGAATATTTCAATGAAAGTCAGAAAAGAAAACCCCCCGCTACCTTGTATTTGTTTAAAGAGAACAGGAAGGTTGTGCAAGCTAAAATGAAAACAAAACTGGCTTGCAGCTGAATGATTGTGTAACCTACATGTTAAGAAATGAGATGAGGAAAGGGCTGAGGAAGAACATTCTGAAACAAACCCTTCAGGTGTGGGGCAGTGGCTAAGGTTAAACAGTCTCCACTCAGATAAATATGCTGGACCCACTACTTTGTACAGGAATAACATCATGCCATCGTAATGTTTTCCTAAGTTGGAAAAGTGGCTTTAAACGCAGGCATTTGTCTCCATTCAGAGATGTAGTGTCAAGTTCGGAACCAAGGGCACCACTACTCAGTTCAATGTTTACGGCGTTGCCCAACATTTTTCTCCATGCTGAATGGCATTTTATATACTCCAGATATTAGTCTGGTGATTGACATAACCCAAATTCTAATAATTTCCTGCTACGTGCTCTTAATTACCCACTCCAGCTTTCTGGGCTCCTTTTTTTCCTTAATCTAACCTGTTCCTTGAAGTTGATGTAATTAAAATGGCACCACCTTCATCTCTACTCTGAGATGACAGATGCTCCTTGGATTTGCTCTTCATTGTACAAACGTATTGTTATAAAGGTCCTAGAGATTAAATTTTTCTTGCCTAAATAGATGCTGAGAATAATTTAGGGGTAGCATAGCTGTTGCCTACTTTATCCTTGAGTTTGGAAAGAAATGTATAATATCATCCCAGATAATTTTCTTATCCGTAGAAGTGAATTTGAACTAGACATCTTCTCTGTTACCACTCTTTCACTGTCATTGGCACTGTGGTGAGAGGACACCTTCCTACAGGATTTCTCTGGGACATTCAGTTTTGTGGACGTACTTCAGGTTTGTGGTTAAATAGAG